GTGAGTCCATGCCTTAGCCCATGACTTGTGTTTTCTTCAGGCTGATTGTTAATCCAAAGTCTTGGCAGGCCTTACTAAAATGATTCATAAATTGTTGGAACATTTCAGCAGAATGGGCAACAACAGCTGCATCATCGGCGAAGACGAAGTCCTGCATACATTTCAGCTGGACTTTGGTCTTCGCTCTCAATCTAGAGAGATTAATGCTAAAACACTATATAATAAATACAGACTTTCTGTATTTATTTTTGGGGGAATAATGAGGCAACAACAACATTCCTTGTTAAAGTGATACAGTGACTGGTAGCATCAGTGTGTGTGCATGTGTGTGTGTGTGTGTGTGTGTGTGTGTGTGTGACAAGTTAATGTTTACTAGATCCTTCAAAGCCTTAGTTTACAGACTTGTCTTGAAAATGCAGCTTGCTACTTTTTTGCATTTTATTTTTTTACAAAATTACAGAAAGTAACATACTATTAAAAAGTAGTACATTAGCATCATTTTGCTATTAGTACAGTGGGGTCTTGACTTGAGAACTTAATCCGTATTGGCGGTTCTCAAGTCAAAAAGTCTGTAAGTCAAGTCTCCATTGACCTACAGTGCATTGAAAACCGATTAATCCCGTAACAGGCCGTTTTTGTTCCATTTTGGTTTTTTTCTGGTCTGTAAGTCAAATCTCAGTCTGCAAGTCAAACCTAAATTTTGCGGCCAGAGAAGTCTGTAACTCAAAAAGTCTGTAAGTCAAGCCATCTGTAAGTCAAGGGTCCACTGTATAGTATTATTAATAATATGTACCAAGCAACATATTTTTAAATGTAATGCTAACATGTCAACCTTTGCAAAAACATTTGCAAGTTCGGCATGTACAACAAATATTTTAGGCCATAGCCGGGGTACTTAAGATATGCATGAATACTGTCATCTTCCTAGCAAGTCATGTTTCTGTGTAGACATTTCCAAAATAATGTATTTTCTGACTCTTTCTAACAGTTATTTTCTGAACACCTCACACATAGGTGTGAGGGTAGGACAGAAGGAGAAAAATCTTATAAAGCAGGGGCAGGGGGTTGAGAAAAAGAATCTCTGGCTTTGGAAAGAATTAAGTACAGAATTATGTTTGTTGATTTATCCTTTCAAATACTCTCCCTCCCTCCTTTCCTGAGTATGAAAAGGAAAGTATAGAGGAAGAGATCCCATGGTTTTCTTCCTGGTCTCTGCCTTGACCCTAAGTTGCTTAACAAGAACTGTATAATCAGGAATAAAAACTCCTTCACAAATCCATTTTCCAGTCACTGTCCTATTGAATGTTTATTTTTGAAAGTGGTTACCATGCCCCTAAATGGGACATAAATGAATATTTTAGCAAAAACTGAAGAACATGTAAAAATTGAAAATATGACCCCCTGAGCTCTTAGGCAAAAAGAAAGGGGTGGGAAGGGAAATACATTTTGGCCTCTTTCACAGGCTTCTTTCAAAAGCATTTTTCTTCCACTGTGTGCTTTAATAGTGAATTATGTCCCTACTTACCTATCCTGCTTTGCTCACCACTGAAGAAGTTTGGAGTGCTGTTGACAATATGGCCTGGCGCTTTTTGCTTATTCCACTAAAAACAAATGAAAAAATAGATGAGGTCAGCTTTTCTTGCTCCAGTAAAAGGGACTAGAAGAATGGCATCCAGAAGAGAGTAATAGTGGATCAGTCTGCTTTAGCTTTACCAGAATTCAAGCAGCCACTTCTTGCTATATATCTGAATGGCGTGTCTCACAATGGCACTACTCAGGCCTCCATAACTATGAAAACCTACTAACAGAGCTTTTCAGTCAAACTAGCCCTTCTAGAAGCAAGACAACTTTGCAGCCAGTGTCAAACCAGGATGTTCCTTTGCTTGAAGCAGAGCACCAAATGGCATTGTGCGCTAAGGATCCCTGCTTTAAAAAACAAACAAACAAAAATAAAACAATAACTCAACCATTTAGACCTCTGTTCTAGTCTTTCTCCGTCTACCTCCATTCCATTACCTAAAACATCATACTTTACCAGATGTTTAGTAACACACTGCTTCACACCCCTCCAAAAGAAGACAACATAGGAAACACATTTCCATACATTTTCATAAAATAACTTGTATCTCTAGATGCCAATTCAGAAATTATTACTATAAGATGAAGAGCAATGTGTCTTACCATACCGGGGAGGGCTGAGATAGGTAAACTGTGTGGTTGCTTAATCTGCTGTTGAGGCACTAATTTTTTGCTGGACAACTTCAAGGTTTCTGCTCTCCTTTCTTGTGATTTGTCAGCTTTAAACTAGATTTGGATGCTTTCAAATAGAGCCCCATCCTCCACGAAATGCGGCACATGGCCACTCTAATGCTTGCTGCATGGGAAGTCTGTCCTTGCTCCCAATTAACTCTCCTGAGATTCCATCTGAAATCCTTTTTAGATCCCACACTGAAATATGTGAATGGCCCTTCCCTTCTCCAGACAGTGTAGTTTGCATACTGTACAAGCCAGATATAGTAACCATGTAAATTGTTCTACCTAGCCGTTTCCTGCTGCCAGCCAGCAGGGATTTTTTATATCAAATCTGATATCTCCACTCAACATTCTTTGCTGAAGGGAAGGGGTGCTCTGTCCCAATACTCTTTCTTCTCAGCTCAAATACAGGCTCATTGTCGATTCCCCCAAAGCTGTGCTCCCCTCCACTAAAACAGTGCTGTATATGGGCTAATATTCTAGGATGTACCTGTTACTTTAAGAAACTTTCCAGGAATCAAAGCACAAACAAAAAAGGACAAGCAGCTCATGTAACCACTCTGGGAATGGCCATGGGAAAACAAATAAAAGAGCTTAGGAGTTATATTTATACTTCCACACCTACAAATAATGGTAATTATTAATAATGGTAATTATTTGTTAACTACCAAAATTCTAATTGGGACAAAAATTTGGAAATGATAATCTTAGAGACATAGTTGTGGCTGGACATGACTTGTTCACATGAAGTGTGTCCAATAAAATGCACAGCATGATTGTATGTGTTGAACTGTTCCAGTTAATAACTGATGGGGTGCTTTTGTGTTCGTTAATACACAGACAACAGTATAGTCTACTGTTGGTTGCCCACTTTCTGCTTGGATTGCTACCATTCCTGTATGCAAGCTTTCTCCTCAATTTATATCTGAAAAGAGCCCAAACATCAACCAGAATGCCACACTGTATTTCTACAGCTTCTACAGAAATCTACTGGCAGTGTTCAAACATAATACGAAACCACTGTTTAGCATTGTGAAAATGGGACTCAGTGAGCTTTATGCCCTTAAGCTCCACCTCCTTTTCTGGCAAGACAGCAAGGATATGGAAACCGCACATTTCAGTCATGCTTAGCTATGGTTTGTTGAAAGAAGTCAGCTTCATAAACTATGGTTTGAAGTTGGCTTGTTTTAACAAATCATAGTTACATTTGAGAGCCAGTGTGAAGTAGTGGATGGAGTGATGGACTAGGAGATTTGGCTCTAAATCTCCATTTGGGTGTGGAAACATATTCGTCTGTGGCAGTGTTGAATCACTCCATGAAAGTCTTGCATACCCTGAAAATGTTTTTAGGAGCACTTGTCAAATGCTACTTGATAGGGCGTAATAACAAAGATAGCTTTAACCAGTGTGTAGCAATTAGAATATATGATAGGATTAAGAGTGTTGAATAATGTTGTGCTAACTTGCAGCTGATGGTCTTTCTGTGTAAGTAGTGCAGACATCTTGGCTTAAGTCCTGTTGCTTAGTATAGTAAGTGACACTAGAGTAGGCCCACTAGGCCCACAGAGTCAGTGAGAATTTGAAGAGTTAACTCCTCTGTAATTTCCGTTGATTCAAATAGGTCTATTCTAGTTGCAACTTACTTTAGCATAGTAAGCCACAGCTAGAGTACGTTGAATTGATGGAATTTATGGAGTTAACTTAATGGGCTTGCTTCAATGGGCCTTCTCTAGTGTGACTTACTATGTGAAGCAACAGAATTTCCGCCAGTGCCATACAATAAGTATATAGGTTTTTCTTGGCCAGAGCAAGAGAGAGCAGAAGCTAGAGGCCCACTGAGGATTGTTGTTATAACACTAAGCCCTAGCTGGTACATATTGAAGAACATATCACCATTTAGGTGTTGAAGGTAAAGGTAAAGGTTCCCCTTGACATTTAATCCAGTCATGTCCAACTCTAGGGAGCGATTCTCATCCCCATTTCGAAGCCGTAGAGCCAGCGTTTGTCCATAGACAGTTTCTGTGGTCACGTGGCCATAGTGAACTGCAATTCCCATAATCCCTCACAACTAGCTGTAATGGAGCTATATTTCAATAAACATCGCAAAGAGCACACATTTCTCAAGAGTTAAGCCTGGACACAACTAATGTGATTAGAATTACAATACAGCAAACCTGGGTTGCAGAGGTAGCACACAGACACAATACAGATATCTCAAGAATTACGGTTTATAGTTTCTGTTGTACCAGTGTGTGCCCACCATATAAATGCTTTTCAATTTCACTTTATCTTCCCACACCCAAACCCACATTTGTTAAAAAAAACACTTCACATCATTCTGTTCCACATTGGGTTGGAAAAGAGCAACCAACTATCCTACACACGAGCAACAAAAGGAGAACAGGAATAATCCATATGACCATGTTTCTGCTATTTTTCTCATTTCTCCAGCTGATTAGATTTAATTAGACATACTCAGTTTCCACAGATTATGGTGCAAAAGCAAAAAGAAACAACTTTTGGCTCAAGGATGTCATGGCAGAATGTCACATCACGGGAAATTTGTATTGCAAACAGGGCATTTACTTTTAAAGTATCATGTGAGAAACCCAAGGCAAATAGGCTGTTCAGTTGCAGCCAAACTGATCTGAGAAACAGTGCAGAGAACTCAATGAATTTCCTGAAGCTTTATTTTAGAAAAAGGCTTTAACACCCCCCCCTTTTTTAGCAAGTCAGCTACAAATCTTGTTTTTGCCTTTGCACAATATTCATTTATTTGTTTTTACCTACCTGCGGGACCTCAAGAAAGTTTAAGGATATTTTCTCATGCTGGTCACCCACTGTATTCTGCTCAGCTCTGTCAGCATCCTGTATATTTGGCCCAGATTCATCGCCTAGGCTTTCATAAGCAGACAACCTTATACTCTTCTCAGGAAAGGCTACAGTTTCATAAATGTAGTCCTTTGTCTTTGGCTCAGTGGTCGTCTTTAAACTCCCATAATCAGCATCGTCAAGCGTCTGCTCATCTGTGATCAAGTTGTCACCTTCTTTATTTTTTCTCCTTTGCATATTTGTTTGTCATACCACCAACCAGCGGAACTCTTGTGGAATGTCTACGGGGAATTCAGCAACAGATCAGAATTGTACCATTCAAGTATGTGCATTGCAGGAAATTCAAATACTCGTACTGCAAGTGAAGAACTCTCTCACTAGTAGACGCGGGTCAACACTTTTCCTAGTCCAACTGGAATGATACTACCATTGGTAACCTGCTCCCTGCCTAACCGGTCACACTGCTTCTGAAGGCAGCAGAATGTCCCTGCTGATTTTGTACAAAAAACAATTAGAAGGCAATACTAGGAGTAGATAGCCATTACATAAGGGAAGTCAGAGGAAAATACAGTCCTCAAAAGCTATATCTAAACCAGCGATTAATGTAAAAGTAATCTCATATGCCCCATCTACTGTACTTTCAGTGTTGTTATGTGCTGTCAAGTTACTTTCAATTTCTAAGGACCCTATGAACTAGTTCCTTTTAATTCCTTTATATCTACCCTTCCAAGTTTCAGTCCCCTTCTGATTTCTTGGTTATAGTCTCAATTTCAATTAATGGCTGAACCAATGTTTAGAAAATGTTCTGCTATTTAAATTTCTTCATTATTAACATTATATAGTTCTTCTGAGTGATACAACTATTTTTGCTTTCTTCATTAAGAAGTAATAATCCTGATTTTGTACTTCCTTCTTTAACCATTGTCAATAGTAATTTCAACTCATTGCTGTTTTCTGCCAGTACTGTGGCACCACTGGCGTATCTTAAATCATGGAGATCTCTTTCTCCAGTTTTCACTCCTCCTTTAGCTGCATCTAACACAGCTTTCTGCATAATATGTTCTGCTTATAAACTGAACAGATAAGAACATAAAATACACCTTCCTCTGACATGTGTATCAAAAGGAAACCAACCTTTTTTCTATATTTTGACTCTATATTAGCTTGTTGTCCAGAGTATAGATTATCGATTGGATCAATCCATAGCTTTTCATGGACACAGTAAAAGACTTTTCTGTAATCCACAAAACACAATTTTATTTAGCAATTTTTTGGTACACTTCAGTAGCTAACATATATTTGCAGTACGATCTACAATGCCTTTCCTCTTCTGAATCCAGCTTCAACATCTGACTTCTGTTGATCTTTCAGCATCCCTAATCTTGGTTTAATTTTCTCTTTGATTTCTTGGATTTTATGAAAGAGATTATTTTATTTTTCCTTTTTTTTGTTGTTCTCTTCTGTTACCATAGTTTCTTGAGACTGAAGGATACCTACTCTGTTTCATTACAATTATTGGCTGAAATCCTGTCACTTAGCTCAGTAAGTTGCACTGCAGTCCATTGAATAAGTGGGGATTGGGTAGTCAACCACTCCACAAATTCCATTGATTCAAGTGGGCCTACTGTAGTTGTGATTCACTACATAGTAAGTTGTCTCTAGAGTAAGCCCATATGAGTCAATAGAATTTATAAATTAGTTGACTCACCAAATCCCTATTGATACAATGGATCTAATCTAGTGCAATTTACTATTCTAAGCAACAGGATATTGGCCATTGTTATAATCTCTTTGGCCTCGCATGCCGGCCACTGGAAAGTTGCATTTAGAGCTGAGCTATTTGTATTTGTATCCTAGGGGATATGAATATGAATATTGGCACCACAGGTACTGCGGAGATCCAGACCCTCTGCCCCAAACAGGCCAGTCCACTCACTGGTTGCCATGCGGCATGTGTGGCCATTGTTTGTGTCATTACGCCAATCATGGAAGCAGCCCAGCCAGTAGTTCCCCACCATCTGTGTGCAGCCGACTACTCTGGCTAAGAGGCAGGATGAAGAGTCTCCCCGCTTAGCTGTTGAGCGGTTGGCTGTTTGGGGAGGTGAAGAAGTGCCTGTCAAGCTGCTTCTTGGTGTAATGATGTCGACAATAGCTATGCATACTGTACAGCGACCGGTGAGTGGACTGACCAATTTGAGGGGGGGAGCCTGATATTTGCGGCACCTGTGGTGCTGATATTTGTATTTGTATCCCCTGAGATACAAATACAAATAGCCCAACTCTAGTTACATTAAGTCTTCTCTCACTGTTAGAACCACATTGCTTCTACTTAGGCCCCCTTTTGCTTTTTATCTGTTGTTAACAGTTTTAAGAATTTCATGAGTTTTCTATAAAGGATTTTCTTTTATTTTGATTACAGAAATAGTCTTTTCACATTTCCCCTGAGAATAACTTTGGTTTCACGCTACAGTTCCTCTGGTTCACAATTGAGTGTAGTAATGTAAATCTTTTCTTTACATCTTCTTTACATTCTCCGGGAATGTTATTTAAGTTATATTTTGGCAGTATGACTGTTTTAGTATTCTTCTTCATCTTTACTCAGGTTTTTTTCACATCAATATTTTATGTTGTATCCCACAATCTGTTCCTTGTCTTGTGATTGAGCATCAGTGATGACAGGTTTCCTAGGGGGGATTTTGCCTTAGCTAATCAAATAAGAGTTAGCAGAGTACTAGCACTTGGTAGCACCTTGTTAAGGCAGCTTCTTCATGCTCCTACTCCAATTTTTTGCAAATCTGGATGGCTATAGAAGCTGCATTAATAAGGTGCTTAAAAGCGCTCATTGGCAATTTCCTCTTCTGCCTCCGATTTTTTTTGTCTCCCAAGTGCTTCAGCACATGTTTGTTCCTGTGCTAGCATGAAGGATTTTTCTTTTAAAGAAATAGTCAAGAGACAAGAAATACTTGACTGAGGGAACTGACATCCCCGTGAGTGCCCCTTTGTTTTTCTCTCCCCACCCTACCAACCACCAGCACCCCTGCACATTCCCCTCTTTCTTTTCTGCATCAGCACAAGTGATCACACCACCTGAACTGATGAAAATGTATCTGCTGTCAAAAAAGTAGAAGCCGAAGCAACAGAGGAAAAACAGTATGAACAAGGGTGGGTGGGGAGTTTAGATTGATTCACACTGATTTGTATGTCATGTAGTCAACAGAAAATAATACATATCTGACATCCCAATCCCAGATAAATTTGTCTGTATAATCACCCCTATAGAGGCAGTAGAAAATGCTAGTAATATTTGAACAAATGCTCTGCCTGGAGGAGTCCCAAGAATGACAAACCACGTATCATTCATGCTTATTACATCTAACTGCGGTTAGACAGAATGTTCATGCAGAAGGAGACCCATCCCAATCGACATATAGTTATAGCTACAGTCAAGGATCTAGGGAGGGGCAGCTCTCTAGTGCTGGAGGGCATGACATGACTTATAGGGACAGATGAAAACCTATGGGAAAATAAGTAAAAAGTCATGTAAATAAATAATTAAGCAAAACCACTACCAAAAGCAGAACTCTGTCCTTTGAGACATACTATTTCACTTTGCAGCATCTATGCTCCCATCACTGAGAAAGTTACTATAATGCCCTAAGGCATGTCCTTTTTAGTGAGTAAGCTAAATATTGCCTGTTTCTACATAGATAAAATGTGGGATGTATTATACAATACTTAAAAAAACAACCCCAAGATATCCAATTCTCAGTTCTCATTATTTTTAAATACCTTGACTTTGAAATTCAGGTTGTCCATATGAGTTAGAAACGAGGAAATGTAAGTAGTTTTCAGCCACTGTGATAGCTTCCTGCTTTTGAAACTGGGTGATAAGAATGAACAAGCAGTACAAACCTGTCTAACCAGAAAATGTACCAGGAAAAGTATAAAGATTATATAGGTTATTAACCCCAAATTGCTTCAAATGGAAATTCCTGAGATGACTTGGACAGTGAAATTAGAAAGAAAATGTTGGTCTATAAAGAAAAAAAAAAGGTTCCACACTGTGGAATCACTAGGGCTGCACTCTGAAGAAAGGAGTCCTGGCTCACCACATAGTGAAGTAAGTTAAATCACATACCTTATGAGAATATTACATTCAGAGTTTAAAATTTCCCAATAGTACTATGATGCCCAAGGGCATAAATCTTCCCTCTCAGACATGGAGCCAGAGGAACAATGAATTTTGCAAACAGAAACTACAACCCGAAGGACTTTTACTGTTGCCTCAACAAGGCACCCTGTTAGTTGCTTTGGAGCCCCCCTCACTTCACAGGAGATGGGCCAGGGGAGCTCCTCCGAGCACCCAAGATTTCTGAAATTGAAGGGACCTGTATAGTCATCCCTTGTGGCCACCATTCTCAATATCCCACCTTCTAAAGAAATTCAGAACAAGCCATTTGTGCCTTAGCTGCTCTTCAGACAGGATCATGAGTAGATTAAGAAAAGTCATCTGAGCTCCCATCTAAGTCAGCAGGACATCTTATAGCACTACCACTGATGCCACATTGAGAAATTGTCAGGAACAAGCCACAGCGATAAACTGATGTCAAACCTGAACTAATACAGTTCAACTACATCAAAGAATTTGAATGGGCTTTGAATTCTGAACTAGGTTTGCAAATGATAAAATCTAGTGCAAACATTAATCTCATGACTATTGTAAACCATTTGTAGCTTAGAAGGTTTATTTCCTTCCGCCTCCTCTGGAGCAATACAGATTAGGTTTGCCATCTTATAAACCATTTATTTCTTTATGACATTTCTAAAACCAAGGATAATTTCCATTGAAGTCAATAGGATTTACTTGTGAGTAGATATAAATAAGAGTGGAGTGCACAGCACCCAGAGACCTGAAGCATATTCTCTCTGCAAAATTCAGTTAGTGTGAATTCTTATTCCTTTTTTCCAACAGAATCCTCAGCACCTCACAGTTCCTGCATTCTTCACAGAAATCTGGGACAGTTGAAATGGATATGAAACTGAAACACTAAACAAGCAAGGGAAGAAAACAGCAATACTGTACTCCTATGCACAAACATTCGAAGGTCGGCTGGTTTTCAGTCAGAGCACTGAATAAACTTGTCCCTCTTCACATAAAGTTTTCTTTAGGACATAATGCAGTGGGGAGTGAGGGAGAATTGTGCATTTAGGATCTGACTAATCCTGTGATTGAGATTTTGGAAGGATTCTTAAAAGTGTTTCTACCCCAGACTTAATGAATTATCTGTGGTATTAATGGGAAAACTCATGTTCTTGAGCTTTTGGTGCCTGGGCTGGCATAACACTTTTACATATGCAGCTATAGTGCTATTGTATAGATGCTTTAGCATGGGGCCCCTAGTCAAAGACATATCAAGAGAGAGAGAAGGTAAGGAATCGGACGAGGCTTTATGATTTCCAGGGTGCTGGAAGTTTTCAGCTGAGATGAATAGCGCAAAAGTAACAGGGATCCTTGAAAGTAGCAACAAAGATAGAAGTAAATGTTAAAAAACCTAATATACAGCACACCTTCCAAATAACTGAGCATTTCCCCATTTCACTTTATACATACTATACTACAGAAACAAAGTACCTGATGATAGTGATGGGATTATCATATCCATATCATTCTTCTTCCTGCTGACTGACTTTCAGAGGGCAGCTCCATATCACAGATCCTTAAGAAGCAACAAAGGCTGTACTCTCTCTTTCTCCTGCCGGCTGTCTGCCTTCACGTTAATTTAAAATAAAGCAAATTGTCACCACTCACCATGCACTCAACGAGATTCCTGCTTTGGCAAATACTTGGGTGTATGCATAAGGTGGAGGAATCTCTAACTTGCAGGCAGGTTCCCAAGAGTTTAATTGGTATTTAGCTGACCTTGCCTTTGTTTAATATGAGGGTGTAGACATCCAGATCCATGCATAAGTGTAAGCAGCCACCTTTTATGAAAGCCTTCCTTAATCCTTTGGAGGGGAAAATAGTATACAGTGGTGCCTCGCAAGATGAATGTAATTTGTTCCGCGAGTAGCGCTGTCTTGCGAAATTTTCATCTTGCGAAAAGCGGTTTCCCATAGGAATGCATTGCAATGCATTCCTATGGGAACTTTGCAAGATGAATGCATTTTTTCATCTTGCGAGGCATTGGTCTTGGGAAAAAATCGTCTTGCGAAGCACAGCCATAGAAAAATCCATCTTGCGAGGCAACACAGCGATCACAAAAACAATTTGTCTTGCGGGTTTTTCATCTTGCGAGGCACCACTGTATATAAAAAGGAGAGGAATAACCTTCCTATTTCGAGCATGCTCTCGCTTTTGGCAATGTGAAGGAAAAGCTAGAAAGAAGAGGAAGTAACTACTATTAGCTACAGTAGGTACCTCTTCTCTTACTCTGCTTCTTTTTCTCCTCTAACATGTCCATCAAGACTTTATGCTGCAGCATTTATTTATTTTAAGATTGTGATCCTATGCACACTTACACAGAGCAATATGTATTGGACTTGTCTGTAAGAGTCACTTAAAAACTACTTTTTTAAAAAAGGGTTTATATTATCTTATTCTTGTAAACCCGGGGGGGGGGCAATGTGTAGCCCTATAAGATACTGTAGGATTGTGACTCCGATCAGCCTTAGCCACTGAGGGATGTTGGGAACTGCAGTCCACCAATATCTGGAGAGGTACAGTTTGCCCTGAGTGTTCAAGTTACTTCAGGGAAGAGGGGGTTTGAGGGGGCTCACAAAAGAGTAACTGCTTGGAGGTTCCCAACCTCTGATTCAGTATTTTCTCATGGTTGACCTGCAAGATACTATCATGTACCACCAGCTAATAAGTAAGTCACTAAAGAAAATATAGAACAGTGTTAGGTCTGGACGAAATATGTTGATTATCTCCTTATAGTGCCATCTTTGACTTATTTCTGAATAGACATGTCTAGGATGGCACTGAATTGGGGCTTATTCCTAGGTTAGTGGATTAGACTGTAGTCTTAATATTGTAGGCTTATTATATAACTAAGGCACATACATTGTATTTAAAATGTAAAATCCAGTAACACATAGTTTATATATTTAACAATCATATGCCGTCAATTTTCAGGATTTTCCAGGTAGAGAAAACTCAGTTTACCATTCCCTTCTTCTGGGGAAATCTTGTGATTGTGCAGCTTGCCCATGGCCATACAGGCTGGCTCTATTTGCAGGAGGAACAGTGGGGAATAGAACTCCCAACCATACCTAAACCACTGAGCTACCCAGCCAGCTGGATGTTTACATATGTACTTAGAACCCATCTCATTAGGAGAAAGCTTGGCTTGAAAAGGCATAATTGTAGCTGCAGACGTTGTGTTAGCTATAGGAATCAGAGGAAAAATAAGTGGCAGTGCAGGAAGAAGACCAGTATTATGGCTGTTAGATTTGTAACCCCAACCAGTATAGTACAGATGGGATTAGAAAAGGCTGGCACAGTAATTACAGATTTGAACTGGGACTCAGGAGGATCCAGATTCAAGCCCTCAGCCCATCTCACTGTGTGAACTTGGTCAGCTCAATCTATAACAAGAGCTGTTGTGAGAATAAAGGATGGAGTAATGTACATTGCCTTGAGCTCATTAAAAAGATAAGACATAAACTTAAGTTAAAAAGCAAATGCATTTCCAAACTGGAACCATTATGTGTTGCTCCAAAACCAGTAACCACAGCTCATCTGGAATAACTTGGTTAAGACCTGATGCCCTTAAGAAAAGTTAAACAAGTTACTTTGATGTATTCCTAAACTAATTACTTGGGAAGTGCTTAAAATTGCAATCCTAAGCAACTTCAAAACTTCCATAGAGATAAGTGGTCCTTATTTCTGGGTGGACAAGATCATAGAGCAGGGGCATCTATCTCTGGAAGCTAAGTTCATTCTACACTAATATAACTCTTATCATTACATCCTTGATACTTTCCTAAAATGTAGGCCCTAAAATATTCATGCATTTATCCCACTGCCCACCTGAAGTTCAGGACAATAATCTGTATTATGAGGATGGGAAACCTGGGAGAGAAACTACTGTGATTTTATCAAAACAAGTAAGAAAGCCTGTGGCAAGACAACACATCTAAAATCACTCAACTGCAAGACGTATGCCAGGGCTTCCTCACTCATGACGTAGCATGAATCCCTTCCATCTCAGTCTGCAGAGTCAGAGGGACAGCGCACTGCACACAGACATCTGCAAGAGCAACCCAATTACATTGTAATTAATAGACACCTATTGATCCCTATAGAGACTTGTTAAAACCTCACCTGCTGCTGCTGAGAGTTCTAATCTATGAGATCATAATTGAAGAATGATGGAAAGTCTAACATTAGGGAAATTCATCATCTCTGAAACCAACTGAGCGAACCCAGTGCTCATCCTTCAGGTGCCTGGAAAACCTTTTAAGAGAACTCTGTCGTTGAACCAGTATGTATGTGAAAGTTACTGACAGCAACTGGAACCCGAAATACATGACACATCTGAAGTTAAGAATGGTAATTTCATTCTCTTCCCCTCCATCCCTTTTCCAAGACAAACACAGAAGGAAAATAATCATCTTTATGGGTTATGCATTCATCAAGCCCAAACAGATCTCCTTTTTATTTTTGCCAGTTCCACTGACTCTTTTTCAAGCCTTCTGTCTTCTCCCTGTTTAGGCCAAGGTGAGTAGTTTCCTTTTATGGAGACAACAGAGACACTAGAACCATCAGGCACTCTGCTCTTTGCCCAAAACCTGTCTGAATTAAATAATGCAGTGCTACCCTTGCCACAGTCTCAGGACTTAAACCATCTTTACCCTAGAACATCATGAGTTATTCCACGGACTTTCCAGTTTTTTTTGCCCTTCTAAGAAAGCACTGGCACAATGTAGGACTCTTAGATTTGGGTTCAAATTCCTGTTCAGCCATGATATTCATGGCACACACTTCCTTGGAGAAGAATGGAGCAGAAAGTTCTTTTAAAAAACACCTGGGCTTCCTGAGTTTTTGCTAGGGGGGCTTACAAAACTATTGTAAGATACTTTTGCCATGTTATACAGTCTAGAATGTTTATTAAAATAAATTCACCTTCACAACAAGTAACTTTAAGAGACATGGTGATGATAAAAAAAGCACTGGCCTCAAATTCTTGCCCCAAATGGGTCCAGCATATTCTCTTTCTACCAGATATAAGCAAAACTAAAGGATCTTGACCTTTCAACAATTTAAGCCTCAGCTGTGGTTATATCTAAAAAAGATACTGTGTGTCATCCCATTTTATTCACAGCTTGCTAGCAAGATTAGGATAAGCCCAACCCTTTAATGGGATTGCTCCTTCTCCCTGATCTCATTCACATGCATTAGCTCAAGCTAAATTTTGCACACTGACAGTGCAGCTTCTCTACTAAATTTTCCAGAAGCACGTATAGGAAAAAAGGCCTGCATGAGAGCCACAATGTTTCAACGGAAAGCGACTTCTTGTCTGCAAGACAGCATTTCATAGGAATGCAGGTTTGCAGATAAACAAGTAGAATAGTAAAATATTCTATTCGGAGACCTTTGGGTAGTGTGGGCGGCATATAAGTTACATAAATAAATAAGAGACATATGGGATATAGCCATACTGTACACTTAAGTGATCAATGAATTATCTTTTGCAGTGCAAATATTGACAAGTAATGGCAATAGCCCCGCTCTTATGTCACGACCAATGAACCAAGTTTAAACTGGGTATTAAACAACGCAATTCAGCCTCCATTATCTCTACTTATCTCTATGTTCACTGTATAAACAATGGTTTATGGCACGGACAGGGAATCCACCCTTCCAGCTTTTGTGAAATACCATCATTCCTTAACTCTGTAGCCTAGGGTTGATGGAAGTTAGAATTCCACAACACCAAAATGGAAGCAGATTCCTTGATCTTGACTCATGGTTTCCCTGTCCTCAGCTGTCCACAAATTAAAGATGGCTCTCTTCTCCATTAAAGCAGCTCATATTGCTGCTTTATTCTCATCCTATTTTGTGGTTTCATTTCAATGCACAACACTGATAGTGCTTGACAGCTCTGGGCAATTGCTATACTACTAGCTTCCAATCACAGAGGGGGAATAAACCAACTTTAAAAGGACAGGAGTTGCCAATTTGTAAATATTGCCACCTTAGAGGAACAAGATGCTTGGGCATCAGAATGCTGCACTGAACATATTGCCAAACTGGTCAGTGGCAAAAAATACTGTCACAACCAGGTAATCTCATACGTTAAGATTTAATAATTATTATTATTATAGCAATATTCAAAAACAACAAGAGTGTGCATTATATGCAGGGTCTTCAATCAGTGCTCTTGGTTGGCTGTTTGCTCTGGAAGTGTCAATGGGCTGAAGACAGAGGGTGCGGTGTGGATAAAAATCCAGCGGTGACACTCTGAGAGGAAGGAAGGTAAGGAAGAAGGGACCAGAGATGGGTCAGAACCGAACAAAGGTAGCATCAATCTGCCGGACGGATGGCAGGGCCAGCATGATTTTGCGTCGATACTGGGGATCCTTCTGAAGGGGGTTCCGTTCTAAGTAGACCGTTTCCAAGTTCTTGGCTCCTTTCAATTCATCCAAGTCACTCCAACACTCAATGAGGTTATCATTCATCTGGAGGGAAGCACAGGAAAAACAAGGTCCTCAGCAGTATTTTAAACACTGTTAAACAATGTAACATATTTGATATAGATGAGTGTATTGCAAATGGGATGCAATTACCCTAACTCAGACAGAGACAAAGAGAATAGGTGCAGAGAAATATGCAAATTACATCACACTTGATACTGTGTTCAGAGCTGATCCAGGCAGTATCAGTGCTCTCCCTTTGCTCATAGTGTAGATGTGGATGCTGACTGTTGATTCATAGGTTAGGGCTCTACAAAATAAATTCTTCAGAATGGGATTTATAAAACTAGATTTTCCAGGACTGCAACCTCCAGAACCCTCCAGCCAACTTGATCAGTGAGAATGTTATCTAGATTATTCTGCTCCTTCTGGACATCTTCCTAGAAAAATGTTCATTGACTGAAACTGCTCCATCCTCTTTATAAAAAGAATTCATGATCTCGCATTATGCTATGTAGGAAAAGCACCACTGCAGCTCCTTCCCACATCACCAGGGTAACGCAAGGCAGCCAGGGCCAGGTGCTAAGCAGCTACAGTGTGACACTCAACCACTAACCACTGCCACAGTTTCCTAGACATGGGAAGAGTTTGCTGCATGGACTCCTTTGCATTAGCCAGGTCTGCTCATGTCAACATGGAGGCCTATGTTAGACCTTTCCACCCCCAGCCTGTTGTAACCGGTCTCCCATGCTGGCAAGGGTAGGAAAAATTCCGTCTTTTAATAGACTGTACATGTGAGATTCCTATGACATTCAGTCCAACAAAAGAATGGCTGGGAAAAAAAAGCGAACTAAGAAATGACAATGCAGAAATGGAAATGGGCAAAAAGGAAAACTGCCGAATCACAGGAATATAGAAAGGGAAAGCTGGGGTAAGAAATCATAGAATCATAGAAAAGCGAAGTTGGAAGGGGCCTACAAGGCCATCAAGTCCAACCCCCTGCTCAATGCAGGAATACAATCAAAGGATAATTGCCAGGTGATTATCTAGGTTTTTCTTGAATGCCTCCAGTGTTGGAGCACTCACCAGTTCCTGAAGTAACTGGTTCCACTGTCCTACTGCTCTAACCCACACGGACATGCGTCCATTGGAAATGATGACATAGTAGATATAAGGGACCTTGATACACCTCTGGTCACATTTAGACTAAATTACTGTGATGTGTCTATGCAGAGCTATCTTTAAAGATTTTTGGAGGCTTCAACTAATACAGAACCTGTTGCTTATAGCATCTAGATAATTCGAACATACACATAAATTCTGTCAGCTGCACCATTACCAGTATCTCTCAGGAGGTTCAAAATAATTCATTAATTTTAATGTATTACTTTTTGGCTTAGCGGGTCATAACATTAGCAATTTAACAGGGTTTTCATTCTTAATCTTCACTTCCACCTAAGAGGTCCTTCTTTGGCAGCAGCACACCGGTCCTGGCAGGGGCCTAGCTGGCCCTTCCCCACCTCCCCACACAGCCGACCACTTCTGCCTGCAGGCGGAACAGGGAGCCTTCCTGCTCAGCCAATGAATGGTGCCGCAAATCCCAAGATATGAATACAAAATGCCTATGTCTAGTTTCATCACAGAATTTTAGAGGGCTGGAGGGTCTCTTACACACATCAGCAACTGAGCACAAGATTAAAGGGTTCACACCATTCTGCTGACTCAGAAACAAACACACTTCTCCTCCTCTTATTTTTCCCTTATAGCTTCAAACATACCCAAAATTCCTGGAGTTCTGTTAGATGGCTGATATTTTCAATCTTTTTGATCCTGTTTGCTGCAATATCCAGCATTGTAAGTTTATTCTAAAACAAAAAAGCATAAAAAAATTAGACTCTCAATTTCTATTGTGTTTGCAATTTTTTTGTATCTTTGGATTAAGCATTATTTGAAGCTAACATACTCAGATATGAGACACAGTAAGATATCTAGTCATCCTGAAGTATGCCTACCTATCCTATCTCTACCTACATCTACATTTATATCTACAGTATATCTGTAGCACACCATTTATATAGTACACAGCTGTATTCCCCTCTGCAGCCTGTAAAGTTTCTGGATTGTTAGCATTTGATTTCTTCAATTTGTTTGCAACTAACTTAACTAGTGTCTAGTCGTGCTGGTCACATGACCACGGAAACTGTCTTCAGAGAAACACTGGCTCTGTGGCTTGGAGACGGGGATGAGCATCGCCCCCTGGAGTCGGACACAACTGGACTAAATGTCATGGGGAACCTTTACCTTCACCTAACTTAACTAGTAGACTGATGTGAACCAGACAGCAAGGCAAGAAGCCATGCTCTAGCTGTTTACCTTCCCACCGAGATGGTACCTATTTATCTACTCGCATTTGCATGCTTTCGAACCGCTAGGTTGGCGGGAGCTGGGACAAGCAACGGGCGCTCACTCCGTCGCGTGTTTGCAACTAACTTAACTAGTGTCTAGTTGTGCTGGCCACATGACCACGGAAACTGTCTTCAGAGAAACACTGGCTCTGTGGCTTGGAGACGGGGATGAGCATCGCCCCCTGGAGTCGGACACAACTGGACTAAATGTCATGGGGAACCTTTACCTTCACCTAACTTAACTAGTAGACTGATGTGAACCAGACAGCAAGGCAAGAAGCCATGCTCTACATTATTTAGAGGGTACAATTCACTCCGCAAACTCCACATCAGAAAATACAATTAATCTCTCAATATAATATCAATAGATTTGGACTCCCTCAATATTGCTTGATATAACCAAATGTGACTGAAACTGAGTGGTGCACAGATCCCCGGGTTCAGTTTAGATGCCAATTCAGAACTTCACAATGTATCTTGATTCAACCTGGAGCAATTTCTGCCCTACCAAATTTGATTTATGTCCTAGATATAACTCGGTTTTAAAATCTGGATCACCTGGCCCCCATTGATATTCACTAAAAAACCAAAACAGTGATACCATTTTAGTTTTTATATTGACATAAACTAAATCTGGTGATACAACAGGCCACATTGATGGACGCAGGTAAACCTGCCAAAGCTCAGACAGCCAGTTTTGTCTACCAGGCCCCTTTAAGTTTTGCTTTTAAAAAAAATCTAATAAACTTCAGTGATTTGTGCTGCAGCTCATATAGTCTACCCTGGAGCTGATCTGATATGTAAATCTGCTTTGTCCAGAAGGGAATCTGGTCATTCTACAGTACTTCAACCTGGACCTCATACAATTCCGTCTGATACAGTGGATTTGGTTGTAATTTGGGCTTCAGCCAAAACTAGCATTCCCAACCTGATGCTCTCCAGAAGCGAATATATCA